TGAACTAGGTTTGAGGATTTTGATGGTTGCCTCTAAGGGAATGCTCTAGTTCACAGGAATAAACCAATAGTAGTCAGCGGTGATGAGGTCTTATGTCGGCAACTTACTTTCAAAACTGTTGAGGAAATGTTCTCTGTACAGTACTTGCAACTTTTCTAGAAGCTTCAGATTGTTAAAAGTAAAATGTATTGAAAGTTTTACTTGTTTCTTACCAGTTTGGATGCCTTTTACTTCTTGTGTCTGATGCACCTAGGACTTCTAGCACTATGCTGAATAAAGATGGTAAGAATGGTCATGCTTGTCTTGTTCTTAGAGGAAAAGCTCTCAGTTTTTCATCATTGAGTATGATGTTAGTTGTGGGTTTTTCATAAATGGACTTTATTCTGTTGAGGCATGTTCCCTCTAAATCCACTTTGTCAGGGTTTTGTTTTGTTTTTTTAATCATGAATGGATGTTGTACTTTGTCCAGTGCTCTTTCTACATCTATTGGGATGATCATGAGGGTTTTATCCTTTTGTTGATGTGATGTGTCATGTTGATTGACTTCCGAATGTTGAACCACTTATGCATCCCTGCAATAAATTCCACTCAGTCATGGAGAATGTTTTTTAATGGACTGTTGGGTTCAGTTTGCTAATATTTTGTTGAGGATCTTTGCATCTATGTTCATCAGAGATACTGGCCTACAGTTTTCTTCTTTTGTTGTGTCTTTGTCCGGTTTTGGTATCAGAGTAATGCTGGTGTCATAAGATGAATTTGGAAGTTTTTCTTCCCCTTCTATTTTCTGAAGTAGTTTGAGAAGAAGAGATATTAACACTTTTTAAATGTTAGGTAGAATTCATCTCTGAAGCCATCTGGTGGTGGACCACGTTTATTGGGAATTTTAAATTACTGATTCCACTTCATTGCTCATAATCAGTCTGTTCAAATTTTCTTTTTTTTTCTTGAATCAGTTTTGGAAGGTTATATGTGTCTAAGAACTTATCCACTTCTTCTAGGTTGTCCAATTTGTTGACATCTTATTTTTCACAATTATCTCTTATAATCCTTTGTACTTCTGTGGCGTTGGTCATTATATCTCCTCTTTTGTTTCTGATTTCTGTTTATTTGAGTCCTCTCTTTTTTTTTCTTGACCAGTTTGGTGGAAGGTATTTTTATCCTTGCAAAGAACAAGCTCCTATTAATTAATTGAATTCGAATAATGAAAAAAAGAACCAACTCCTGGTTTCATTGATCTTTTCTATTGTGGGTGGCTTTTTTTGGACTCAATTTCATTTATTTCAGCTCTAATCTTTATTATTTCCTTCTTTCTACATGACATGAGACTATATATAGAAAAACCAAAAGACTTTACCTGAAAACTACCAGAATGAGTAAATGATTTCAGTAAAGTCACAGGATACAAAATTAATACAGAACACTGTTGCATTTCTATACACTAATGAAATAGCAGAAAGAAAAAAAATTAAAAACAATCCCATTTATGATTACATCAAAAAAAATAAAATTCCTAGGAATAAACCAAGGAGATGAAAGACCTATATTCCAAAAACTATAAAACACTGATGTAACAAATTGGCAATGACACAAATAAATAGAAAGATATTCCATGCTCATGGACTGGAAGAACCGATATTGTTTTGCTTTGTTTTTTTGAAGATTTTATTTATTTATTTGACAGACAAAGATCACAAGTAGGCAGAGAGGCAGGCAGAGAGAGAGAGAGGCAGAAGCAGGCTCCCTGCGGAGCAGAGAGCCCAATGCAGGACTCGATCCCAGGACCCCGAGATCATGACCTGAGCTGAAGGCAGAGGCTTAACCCACTGAGCCACCCAGGTGCACTAGAACTGATATTGTTAAAATGTCCATAGTACCTAAAATAATCTACAGATTTAATGCAATCAGTACCAGAATACAAACAACATTTTTCACAGAACTGGAACAAATAATCCTAAAATTTGAATGGAACCACGAAAGACACCAAACAGCCAAAGCAAAACTGGAAGTATCACAATTCTGGATTTCAAGATATATTATATAGCTATAGCATGCAAACAGTATGGTACCTGCACAAAAATAGACACATAGATCAAGGGAACAGAATAGAGTCCAGAAATAAACCCATGCTTATATGGTCAATTAATCTATGACAAAGGAAGGAAGAATATACAATAGGGAAAAGACAATCTCTTCAACAAATGATGTTGGGAAAACTGGACAGCAACATGCAAAAGAATGAACCTGGACCACTTTCTTACACCATGCTCAAAAATAAACACAAAATGGATTAAAGACCTAAATATGATACCTGAAACTATAAAACTCCTTGAAGAAAACATAGGCAGTAATTTCTTTGACATTAGCCATGGAAGCATTTTTCTAGATATGTCTCCCCAGACAAGAAAAATAAAACAAAATTAAACTATTAGGACTATGCTAAAATAAAAAGCTTTTGCACAGTGAAGGAAACCATCAATAAAACGACAAGGCAACCTACTGAATGGGAGAAGATATGTGCAAATGATATATCTGAAAAGGGGTTAATATCCAAAGTATACAAAGAACTTATGCAACTCAACATCAAAAAGACAAATCATCTGATTTAAGAATGGGCAAAAGATATGAACAGACATTTCTCCAAAGAAGACATACAGATGTCAACAAACACATGAAAAGATGCTCAGCATCATGGGTCATCAGGGAAATGCAAATCAAAACCACAATGAGATATCACCTCACCCTTGCCAGAATGGCTAAAATCAAATGCACAAGAAACAACAAGTTTTGGAACCCTCATGCACTATTGGTAGGAATGCAAATTGGTATAACCACTGTGAAAAACAGTATGGAGTTCCTTAAAAAATTAAAAATAGAATTACCACATGATACGGTAATTCCACTACTGGGTATTCACCCAAAGAAAATGAAAACACTAATTCCAAAAGACATATGTATCCCTATGTTTATTGTGTTATTTACAATAGCTGAAATATGGAAACAACTCCAGTGTCCATCACTAGATGAACGGTTAAAGAAGTAGTAGATGTACAATGGAATATTACTAAGCCATAAAAAAGAACAAGATCTTGTCATTTGCAAAAAATGGATAGACTTAGGGGGTAGAATGTTAAGTGAAATAAGTTGGAGAAATACACTCATATGTGGAATGTAAGAAACAAAGCAAATGAACAAACAAAGAAAAAAAAAGGCAAACAAAAAATCAGACTTTTAAATACAGAAAACAAACTGGTGGTTGCCAAAGGAGAGGTGGGTGGAGGGATGGATGAAACGAATCAAGCAGATTAAGAGCACACTTATTGTGACAAGCACCGAGTAATGCACGGAACTGTTGAATCATTACATTGTACACCTGAAACTAATATAACACTATGTTAATTACACATCAATAAAAAATAAATAACAAAAGAAGGATATGCTGAATAAAGTATAATGACTATTTAAAGCAAAAATAATACATTATAGGGTTTATAAACACCGGCGATATAATGCATGGCAATAACAGCGGGAAGCACAGGAGAAGGAAAATGAAAACGTATTCTTGTTAGGATATTACCTTATATGTAAAGTGGTAGAAACTTATGTGAAGGTGTAATCTGTGATGAATTGCAAACCCCAGCGCAGCCACTGATAAAGTAAACAAAGAAACTTCAACAGTGAACAGTGTGAGAATTCAAAGACAAAAGAACAGCCGTATCAGTCTAAGAAAGAGCGTGATGTGGCTTAGAAAAACCACTAAGAATAACATATTAATATGACACAAAAAGAGAAATAATTAGGGCAAGAATGCTAGGCTTGGTTATACAGAGCTCTGAAGCTTCTCTCATGGAAAGACTGTACAGACAAAACGGAAGGCAAGCGTCAGGCATAGGAGGGAAATCTCTGATATGTTCCAGGCAAAGGGTTGATATTACCATTATACAAAGAGCTATTACAAACCAGCAAGCAAATTATGGGAATTCCAATTTCAAAATGAACAAGATAGAATAGACACTTTATAAAGAGGAAATCATGGGCGAAAATATCCTTATCCTGGGGCACCTGGGTGGCTCAGTGGGTTAAAGCCTCTGCCTTCAGCTCAGGTCATGATCCCAAGGTCCTGGGATCGAGCCCCGCATCGGGCTCTCTGCTCAGCAGGGAGCCTGCTTCTCCCTCTCTCTCTGCCTGCCTCTCTGCCTACTTGTGATCTGTGTCTGTCAAATAAATAAATAAATAATCTTTTTAAAAAAATATCCTTATCCTAACTCCACGCGATACGTAAAATGCTGGACTAGACATAGACGCATAGACACCCTGTCCCCAAATAAAACTTGAGCTTAATTCTGCACATTCAGCAGGGTGTATTTAACGCATGGGATTTTATAATGTGAAGCTTTCACCGATCAGAATAAGGTGATATTTTATAACTCTTCAATGATTTCTCAGGCAGTCTCACAAAGAAATTATTTATCTATCAAATTAGGAGAGAATATAACTTATAGTTGGAATTATGGCTGATTTTTCAGAGATCAATTCAGTGAATTGTAAGCTGTAACTACATGATTCTCTCTATGAATTCACAATCTAGGGGAAAAGGATACTACAAATATTTCATCTAATTGAAAGGTGCACTAAGACAAGCCCATTTACATCCCAGAGTGAAGGCATCATGTGAAATTTAAAAGATTAGGGATTAAAAATGAAAAAGTGTGTGCTGCAGTAGCTAAAACCTGTTCCACCTTAAATGACAATGTATGCTTGAAGGAGGAATGCCTTCCCTTCTTATTTCCTGCAGCTTTACTTTCTCCACTTTTGATTGCTAGAGTCATCTTACAGCCATCCAAAAGGATGACCTCTAAAAATATGAGTTGAACCCACAGCTAGTTGTAAAAAAACATGTTTCTTTGAAATAGGATTTCCATCATTCATGTCAGGTTTATAAAACCACTCTTTACATAAACATTGTGAAAATGACTAGTTACAATACATGAATTCATACGAACCCGTGAGATCACTCTTTCGGGGAACAGCGAAATGTCACATTCAGGAACCTCGCTTCTAAGAAAGACTTCAGACGCACTGTGTTCAGGAAATAGGAATTCTTCCTTAGCAATGACGTTGCGTTTTAACCTGCTTCTCCATTTCAGCAACTGAAGTTCATGTTTTAATATCTGCCATGAAAATAACCGGCAAATTCCATGTCATCATCGTGAAGGTTAAATGAGATATGTATAGAGCACAGCACTCGACACCATGATAGAACCAAATAAACATTCTGTATTATTGTCATCCCCGCTGTGTAAACTGCCTTTGTCCATAGCAGGGCGATATGCTCCAGACCACCAGAGCATTAGAGATCATTCCCATGTGTTGTCAGACACCAGTGGCCTAGGCAGCAACCTCGATGATGTGGTCCAGCCTCCTCTTTTAGATGAAGAAGCTGAAACCCACAGAGTCAAGGTTCTGGTAATGACTGATGGGATATTTGGGGTATGGAAAGGTGGCGGTTAGCACAGAGATAAAAAAGGAGAGGCAGAGGAAAGCATTTGGGGTCTTGCCTGATTTACTGTTACAAGAAGTCCCCATTCTAATGCTGAATACGTTCCTTAAAACTGCATAATCAAGGGGCGCCTGGGTGGCTCAGTGGGTTGGAGCCTCTGCCTTCAGCTCAGGTCATGATCCCAGGGTCCTGGGATCGAGCCCCACATCAGGCTCTCTGCCTGGCAGGGAGCCTGCTTCCTCCTCTCTCTCTGCCTGCCTCTCTACCTACTTGTGATCTCTGTTTTTCAAATAGATAAATAAAATCTTAAAATAAAAACTGCATGATCGAGAAAAAGCCATAAGGATAAATAAATGTTACACACACACGCATGAGCCTAAGGAAGGGCACACGTTGGAGAAGATTAGTGCATAGAACTGTTCCCTGCGTTCTCTGCGCAGCACACACCAGCCATGCTCACTTCACCCACTTAAGTGAGTGATTGTTAGGCCAAGAAATCACATAGCTAGAAGTAAATGTTTTCTCTAAACACCCAACTAACTGTACAGTATACATCTATATGAAGGATAATACTACGTTATGTGTTATTATTTATATTAATAAGTATCAACTATTGCATGCAACACATTATGCTCAGGGTATGGGGATGATTAAAAAAACAATACTGCCTCCGAGATGTTCAGTTCAAGCGGGTTGTGAACGGGGCAGACTAGTCACGTACAGTTGTTTATTTCGCCATTAGACAATCACTGATCAGGCTTGGCGGGAGCCAGGATCAAAATGCTAGCTTAGTGCACAGTGTCAAAAATCACTGAACAGGGGCGCCTGGGTGGCTCAGTCAAGGAAGCATCTGACTCTTGATTTTGGCTCAGGTCTTGATTTCGGGGTCTTGAGATCAAGCCCCACATCAGGCTCCCTGCTCAGTGGGGGGTCTACTTGAGAGTCCTTGTCTCTCTCTCCCTCTGCCCATCCTGCCTCTCCCAATGCTCTCTCTCTCTCTGTCAAATAAATCTAAAAAGAAAGAAAGAAGGAGGGAAGGAAGGAAAGAAAGAGAAAGAAGGGAAGAAGGTAAGAAAGAGAAAGAAGGGAAGAAAGAAAGAAAGAAAGAAAGAAAGAAAGAAAGAAAGAAAGAAAGAAAGGAAGGAAGGAAGGAAGGAAGGAAGGAAGGAAAGGAAGGAAGGAAGGAAGGAAGGAAGGAAGGAAGGAAGGAAGGAAGAAAGAAAGAGAGAGAGAGAGAAAGGGAGGCAGGAAGGACAGACAAGCGAGCACTGAACAAGCAGACTAAAACAGTGGTTACCTAAAGTGTAACTGTTGAACTGGCAACACTGAACATGAACTAGTAACATTGAACGTGTACTCCACAAATGCTAGAGGACATCCTAGAAGAACACCATGATACCAGTAGGGGACAGATTTGCAGAGAGCAAGAACTGTGCTTTATGCATCTCAGTGTCCTCTGTAGACTCTAGCACTGTTTCCAGCATAAATCTTTGTATACCCTCTTGGTACATGTATAGTATCATCAGTGTCAGTGTATGAACCCGTTAGTGGTGGGAGGGCATTGATCCTGCCCTCCACCGGGTGATGACTAAACAGGGAGTTTAATTTCTTATTTTTCTCTTTCTTATTTATCCCGACTTTGTCTTTCAAGACTATTGATAAAACATTACCTATGAAGTAATATAACTAAAAAAAATCCATTTTTCTATGTCTGATCCTAATAGTTACTGTGAGTGTTCTAAAACAACATTAAGTAATAATGTATTAACAGCTTAAGCAAACTTAAATATTTTTAAGTTTGGAGGAATTTGCTTGGGTCCTCTATTTTCATTGCTTTAATTAAAGTGTCCCAGTTAAGAACGATCCTTTAGTTTAGCAATTTGAAGATTTTTATTTATTTATTTATTTATTTATTTGACAGACAGAGATCACAAGTAGGCAGAGAAGCAGGCAGAGAGAGAGGGAAGTGGGCTCCCTGCTGAGCAGAGAGCCCGATGCGGGGCTCAATCCCAGGACTCTGGGATCATGACCTGAGCCGAAGGCAGAGGTTTTAACCCACTGAGCCACCCAGGCAACCCCCATAAGTTTAGCAATTTAGTAATTTTTTAAATAATTTATATTAAAATTATAATTTATTATATTGAAGGTTGAAAAAGAATAACAATCTAACCTTATCTAGGACGGAAAAAATTTATTCAATCTTTGTCATATCAAATGGTTTCTCTTCCATTTTAAATTCTTTTTTTTTTAAGATTTTATTTATTTTTATTTAACAGAGAGATCACAAGTAGGCAGAGAGGCAGGCAAAGAGAGAGAGGAAGAAGCAGGTTCCCTGCTGAGCAGAGAGCTGGATTCAGGGCTCGATCCCAGGACCCTGGGACCATGACCTGAGCCAAAGGCAGAGGCTTTAACCCCTTGAGCCACCCAGGCACCCCTCTCTTCTATTTTAGACATCTATATCTATCTAAACACTTACTTCAACAAAATTCTTCGTTTTTACCAATAACTTTAAACAAAATGTTGAAATTTTTTCTCAGTGTTCAGAGTTGAAATGAAACAACAGAATTTATTAGAAAATATTTTTCGTAGCTGAAGGAAAATTTAAATTATTCAATTAAAAGAATAAAGACCCCATCAAAATTATATAATATTGGGGCACCTGGGTGGCTCAGTCCGTTAAGCACCTGTCTTCAGCTCAGTTCATGGTCTCAGGGTCCTGGGATGGAGCCCCCCCACCGAGCCGTGCCTCTGGCTCCCCACTCAGCAGGAAGTCTGCTTCTCCTCCTCCCTCTCACTCTGTCTCTCCACCCCGTCCATGCACACACACGCATGCTCTCTCTCAAATAAATAAGTAAAATCTTTTTTTTAAGTGCCTAATATTCAATATTTTCACACTTTCATGCATGGCATTATTATCTGAAGCAACATCAATAGAACAACCAAATTCAGTTTCTAAACAAATTAAGTTTCCGAGATACCATACCAGCTCCTCTTCTCTCTTCTTATACTTATGTTGAACTTCATCCCGCCACCTGGTTAGGATAGCCAGTAGCTTGTAACGGCGGCACATCGTCCGTATCCGCACTAGTGTGACTAAAGAAAAGTTATTCGATGATTGTATATATATAAAGATGTTTCCTAAAAACAATGTTTAATATTCTATCATGTTTATAATACAAACTAATATTGTGTCTGGTGGGTTTTGTTTGATTTTAATTATATCTAAAATTAATTACTTTCGGCAGCAGTACATCTCTACTCCTGAAACTTTATTAACCTGTAAACATCACATTTGCCCTTGGAAATTGAGATGGAGGGATGCCTGGGGTGACTCAGCTGGTTAAGCGTTTGCCTTTAGCTCAGGTCATGATCACCTGGTCCTGGGATCGAGTGCCACATCGGGATCCCTGCTCAGTGGGAAGCCTGCTTCTCCCTCTCTCGTGCATGCTTCTCTCTCTCTCAACTCCCCCTGCTTGTGTTCCCTCTCTCGCTGTATCTCTCTATCAAATAAATAAATAAAATCTTAAAAAAATAAAAATAAAGATGTAATAGATGTAATAACACATCAGGATATATATAGGATACATATCTTTTCTTTTTTTAATCAAACTGTTCTTTATAAAACCAGAACTCCTAAACTTAATCATAGAAATACAATTATAAGGTAGTATTCTGATTTAGTTAAATGCCCTATGATTAAATAAATTGCTCCATTTTATGTTTTAACCAAGGGTCCAAAGCTCAAATACAGGGGTCAGGCCAGGAAGAAGGATGACTAAGGCAGGCCCTGGGGACACCAATGAAGAGGGCATTGGCTTCTTTTTTTTTTTACTTTTTTTTTTTTTTTAAGATTTTGCTTATTTATTTGACAGAGATCACAAGTAGGCAGAGAGGCAGGCAGAAGAGAGAGGAGGAAGCAGGCTCCCCGATCCCAGGACCCTGAGATCATGACCTATGCCGAAAGCAGAGGCTTTAATCCACTGAGCCACCCAGGTGCCCCGAGGGCACTGGCTTCTTAAGGAAGCCAGTTGCTTCCTTTCTGAATTAGAGGCCCATCAATCTTACTTTAAAACCTTCAGAGGGCACCTGGGGGTCATTCAACTCTTGATTACCACTCTGGTTGCGATCTCAGGTTCATGAGATGGAGTCCCACCTCAGGGTATGGAGTCTGCTTAGGATTCTCTCTCCCTCTCCCACTTCCCCTCCCCAACCCCCATGCTCCCATGTGCACGCTCTCTCTTTCTCTCTCTCTCTCTCCCTCTCTAAAAAAAAAGAAGAAAAAAAAACCTTCAGAGGGCTCACTGTGACTGAGGTACCAATAGTAACTGATCAAGAGGAGATGATTCTCTGATTTGCAACAGCCATAAACCAGTATTTGGTAAGTGGCAAAAATCTGAGCAAAAGGCTGGGGTTCCCTATTCCTGCCTCAAAGATCATGTACATGCCCTCTCTATTTTTTACAACTATCAAGGATTTAAGGAAAGGAAAATGCATTTTCTTTGTTTCCTCATGTATCCATTAAATGAAATATCTCTAAGGAATGGAAAATTCTCTGCAAGAAATAGTCAGTTTTGGTACCTATCATATACCAGCTTTCTCTGAGTAAAAATGATGATAGTAGATCTCTATTTATATTTGTACATATATCACACAAATCCATACAGAATTTTTATTTCAAACATGCCTGTTTTCTGTTACAAGAAAACCCTTTGAGACAAATCTCATTTAAATGTAAGACATTTAATTAGTGGCTTTTCATGACATTTCATGACAGTTCTCTAGACATAATAATAAATTCTCAGTAAAAACTGTTTAATCTTTTGTTAAGATTTTTATTTATTTATTTATTTGACACAGAGAGAGAGAGAGAGAGAGAGAGAGATCACAAGTAGGCAGAGAGGCAGGCAGAGCGAGAGGGAGAAGCAGGTTCCCCGCTGAGCAGAGAGCTCTATGCAGGGCTCCATCTCAGGATCCTGAGATCATGACCTGAGCTTAAGGCAGAGGCTTAACCCTCTGAGCCGCCCAGCCACCCGCAAACTGCTTAATTGTTAAGTGTGTTGATTCTTTGTATAAGCAATACAAAAACTAACCGTTACTATGCAAGGATTTACCTGTAAGTAGTTTTTTTTGACCTTCTGTATAAGAGTGCCAGAGACGAAAGAAGTATTTTTGAAGTCTGAAATTGTCATATTCCCTCGCTTTTTCCATCTTTTCAGCCAGAAGTTCATCTTCATTTATAAGAGGTATTGCTATGTCTCTCCATGTGCTATAGGCAGTAAATACAGAAAAATAGTATTTTGATAATATCAGTGGCAATACATTCCTAATAAATGGAGAAGGAGAAGGAGTAACAATACCTCCTTTATTGCTTCAAATACCAAAGCATAGAAAGAAATTGTTTGATTATTGTTACTGTTCTAGCTACTTCTAGTGTTTCCTTTGAGCTTGTACTTCCCTTTGCTATATTTCTAAAACCCAGTAAAGGTCTGAAATTCGGAAGGTATTTTTTGTAACCTGTTTTTTTTCAAAACCCATTTAGAGGCAAAACTAGACCTGACCTAAAGTAATTTTACCTCAGGGCGCCTGGGTGGCTCGGCTGATTGAACATCCAGCTCTAGATTTCAGCTCAAGTCATGATCTTGGGGTCCTGGGTTCAAGCCCCACAACAGGCTCTACACTCAGTGCAGATTCTCTCTCCCTCTCCCTGCTCCCCTCACACTCTCTCTCTCTAAAATAAATAAATAAAGCTTAAAAGTAAACAAATAAAAATTTAAAAACCTAAAGTAATTTTGCATCAAAAACTCTCTGGACTTGACACATAGCTATTCGTAGTCTTTTTAAAATTTCATTTCATAGACATTTCATTTTATATACATATATAACATATGTAATAGAAATACTAATATGTTTTAATATGTTTGGTTCCAACATGCTGCCCCAGACACCACTGAAGATGTTATATAATACATAGAATGTGTAGAAATTACCTCTGTAAATTTTTTTTAAGAAAAAGAATCTAAATTTCGAAACATATCTCCAAGGGTTTCAGATGAAGGGATTGTAGACTTACACTTCGAAAAAAAGCAATACCTTGAAGAAGTAAAGAACGTATTTTAACTAAGTAAAGGCTAAATAAAAATAAAAGAAATATAGAATGCAAAATGGTGGAAACATGATTAAATAGATAAAATCAGAATGGCCAAAAATGAGTTGTTCTTCCTATAGAGAATATTAAGAATAAAAACACAAAGGAATAGGATGCGAAAATCACATTCTTACCAAAAGTGGGTCTTTACTAAATGTCCAGTATAAAAAGTGCATGCTTTTATCATCAATTCCGGAGTCATCTAAAGTAAATAAATAAATTAAATAGCACACATTAGAAATAAATGGAATGCAGAGGCCAACTCCAGAAGATACAGAGGAAAATGAGAGCAATATTTGCATTGGGCAGTAGGGAGATGGAAACAGATTAGAAGAACTATAGGCCATTTATATATTTTGTAACTTTATTGTGTATGTCCATTATCTGTTTTTCAAACATTAAAATCACAACTTAAAATTTTCTCTATACATTATATTGTATTTACTTTAAAGCATTTTAAGTAGATCTATGGTACTATTATTGTCAGGTGTATTGTTAGGAGTATAGAGTTGTGGGTCTGCTGGTCACCATTAAACTGAAAGATTTTGCATTCTCAAGAGTATAAAATGAAATTTTCTTTAAAAAAAAAAAGCTGGGGTGCCTGGGTGGCTCAGTGGGTTAAGCCGCTGCCTTCGGCTCAGGTCATGATCTCGGGGTCCTGGGATCGAGTCCCGCATCGGGCTCTCTGCTCAGCAGGAAGCCTGCTTCCCTTCCTCTCTCTCTGCCTGTCTCTCTGCCTACTTGTGATCTCTCTCTGTCAAATAAATAAATAAAAATCTTTAAAAAAAAAAAAAAAAGCTTGCCTCACCAAACAGTAATAGGAAAGCCACATAAATTAAAATTTTGGAATACGCTGAAAGAGATGCAAATTAATTGATCACTTGCAACTGTTCACCATAACATATGTTAACGTGTGCGAACAGCTAACTGAGGATTCCTGAAATCATCTGTACCTTCTGTGCCTTCTTTAATGGGTAAGATAATATCATATTAACACATTTGTTATATGTACATGGTACTGTGAAGTGCTAATGGTGTTATTTTTTCTCAGGTTATCACCACCTTGTTTGTCAAACATGTGGCCACATCTGTTTGGTTCAAATCTATACCAACTGCCCAGAACTCTGAATTCTGATTTTCAAAGACAAATGTTTTTCTCCTTTGCACACTGCTGTCAATGCTTTGTTGAGTTCACAGATACAACACACACACGTTAATCATGGGGCTATTTTAAGCGTATAACAAAGGCCCATCAACCCCCTGATATTCTGCCTGATGTTCAATGACATTTGGAAATCATCAGCTTGATGGCGATTATATGCAGATTATTCTTGTGGTGAGGGAGATCATAAATCATTGAAGTCATTTTACTAAAATGACAGAATTGTACTAAATTCTGATTTTCATAAGCGAAAGGAATCCAGACGAACAAAGTAGAAGTATTGGGGATATCACAGCAAGGTAGAGCTAAAACCAGGAAAGGAATGAAAATGGCAGAAGTAAAGACAAATTTCATCTACAATACGATTTTCTTGCTCTGCCATTAGCTGCTAAATTTCCTAAGATTAAGCTTTTTTCTCTAGAGGATATAACCTGGAAAGAACTATATAAATATCTATAGTAAATGGCATAGTTCATTTTTAAATGAGCATATTACATGATCAAATGAATGAAAACAAAAATTATTCAGTCAGTAACTCTTGAACTCGAGTTTTCTAATAATCAACTCTTTAAATCAGCATAAAAGTGTTTTTTCAATTCTATTCTTGAAAGAAGTTAATGTCCTCATGAATCCACACAGAGTTTATATTCCGGAAGAGTTTGTCATTCTAATATTCTTTTATCAAGAGTTCCTTTCCCTAAGTTCTTTTTTTAAATTTTTTAAAAAGATTTTATTTATTTGAGAGAGAGAGAGAGAGCAGGAGCAGTGGGAGGGTCAGGAGGGAGAAGCCAGCTCCTCCTTGAATAGGAAACCCTATACAGGGCTCAATCCCAGGGCCCTGAGATCAGGACTTGAGCTGAAGGCAGACCCTTAACCAACTGAGCCATCCAGGCACCCCTCCTTTCCCTAAATTCTTATTTTAATTTCACATATATTGTTCTCCCAACAAAACAAAACAAAAACACTAATAGAATGAAAATAGCCACGGTTTTTCCTCATTGTTGGCATCCTCTTGTTTTCTCCAGAGGGAAAATAGCTTTAAGAAAGTGTCACTGGGTGCTCAACGGGGACTCTGCTTCTCCCTCTCCCACTCCTCCCCAGTTGCTGTCCTCTGTCTCTTTCTCAAATAAATAAAATCTTTTTTTTAAATAAAAGACAGAGTATGTGTGTCAAGGCACTGACCTGCAGTAAAGGCTCAAGCCCAGGAATGCCCCACCCCCACTTGGGGCCACGCATGCATCAGCGCCACTGGGGCTCAGCAGCACCTCTGGCCAGTCTCACCATCAGACACATGCAGGGACACTCAGTCACGTGGTTCTACTTCCACCGTTCAACATCTTCACTATGCTCCAGCAACATGCTACTTGAAATATTTGTATTTATTATTATTATTTATTACCATTGTATTATTATTATTTATGTATTATCATTGTTGCAATATACTTGACATATTTCTATTAGTTCAGGTGTATAACAAAGTGATTTAAAAATTCTATATATTACTCAGTGCTTACCACAACTAGTGTGGTAAACATCTGTCATCATACAAGATTTTCACAATGATATTGACTAGATTCCCTATGCTGTGCTTTTCATCTCCATGACTTATTAATTTTCTAAGTCGGAGCTTATATGTCTTAATTCCCTCTGCCACTTCACCTATTCCCCACACACCTCACCTCTGGCAACTATCAGTTTTTTCGCTGAATGTAGGACTCTGTTTCTGTTTTTTGTTCGTTCATTTGTTTGTTAAACAAAATTAATTTGTTAAATTATTAATTTGTTTTAAAAATACCATCATTTCTCCTGGGGTTTTTTTGGAGTCCACATGTAAGTGAATTCATATGGCTTTTGTCTTCTCTAAGTTACTTCCCTTAGCATAACAGCCTCTGGGTCCATCTGTGTTGTCGCAAATAGCAAGATCTCATTCTTTTCAAATGGCTGGATAATATGCCTTCATATATATTCATACCACCATTTATCTTTATCCATTTATCTATTGATGGACACTTGGGTTGCTTCCATATTTTGGCTAGTATAAATAATGCTTCAGTAAACATAGGGGTACACATATCTTTTCAAATTAGTGTTTTCATTTTCTTCAAATAAATAATCACAAGTGGAATTAATAGATTATATGGTATTTTTAATTTTTTTGCAGAACCTCTGTACTGTTTTCCACATTAGTTGCACCAATTTACATTCGCACCAACAGTGCACAGGGCTTCTCTTTTCTTCACATCCTCATCAACGCTTGTAATTTCTTGTTTTCTTGATACGAGCCATTCTGACTGGTGTGCGGTGGTATCTCATTGTGGTTTTGATTTGCATTTCCCTGATGATGAGTGATGTTGAGCATCTTTTCACGCATATGCTGGCCATCTGTATGTCGTTTTTGGAAAAATGTTTATTCAGATCCTCTGCCCATTTTTAATTGGAGTATTTGTGTTGGGTCTTTTGGTGTTGGGTTGTACAAATTCTTTATATATTTTGGATTTTAAGCCCTATCAGGCATGTCATTTGCAAATATCTTCTCTCCTTCAGGAAGTTACCTCTCCATTTCGTTGTTAGTTTCCTTTGTTGTGCAAAACTTTTTATTTTGGTGTACTCCCAGAAGTTTATTTTTGCTTTTACTTCCTTTGCCTGAGAAGACTCCATAAACATGTTGCTAAGGTTATTGTCTAAGAGATTACTGCCTGTTTTCTCTTAGAAGTTTTATGATTTCAAGTGTCACATTTAGGTTTTTAATCCATTTTGAGTCTATGTTTGTACATGGTGTAAGAAAGTGGTTCAGTTTCATTCTTTTACATGTAGCTGTTCAGTTTTCCCAAAACCATTTGTTGAAGAGACTGTCTTTTCCCCATTGTACATCCTGCTCTCTAAACTATACTTTCATGGTTCATTTCTATAGTTTGTATATTCCTGCCTCCTTTGTCACAGTTTGACAGTGTAACTGTGGGTTTATTTCTGGACTCTCTATCCTATTCCCTTTATCCATGGGTCTACGTTTGTGCCAGTACCATACTGTTTTGATTGCAATAGCTTTGTAATATATCTTAAAATCTGAGATTGTGGTACCTCCAGCTTTGCTCTTTCCCAAGATTGCTTTGGCTATTCAAGGTCTTTTGTGGTTCCATACACATTTTAGTATTACTCCAGTTTTATTTAAAAAAAATGCTGTTTGTACTTTGATAGAGATTGCATTGACTGTAGATTTCTTTGACTATTATGGACATTTTAAGATTACTTCTTCCAATCCATGAGCATGGTATGTCTTTCCATTTGTGTCATCTTCAATTTCTTTCATTGATGTCTTATAGTTTTCAGAGTATAAGTCTTTCACCTCCTGGGTTAAGTTTATTTATAGGTTATTTATTCTTTTGATGCAATTGTAAGTAGAATTTTTTTTTATTATTATTATTTCTATTTCCGCTACTGTGTTATTATACTGTGTATACAAATGCAACAGATTTCACTATATCAGTTTTCTATCCTGCAACTTTAGTGAATTCATTTATTAATCCTAATATTGTTTTGGTGGAATCCTGTGGTTTTCTACATATAGTCTGATGTCATCTGCAAACAGTGACAGTTTTACTTCTTCCTCACCAATTTGGATGCCTTTTATTTCTTTTTCTTGTCTGATTGCTGTGGCTAGGACTTTCAGTACTTTGTTGAATAAAAGTAGTGAAAGTAGACATCTTTGTCTTTTTCCTGATCTTAGAGAGTGGCTTTCAGTTTTCACCACTGAGTATGTAGCTATGGGTTTTTCATATGTAGCCTTTATTATGTTGAGGAGTGTTTCCTGTATACCCAGTTTGTTGACAGTTTTATCATAAATAGATATGTATTTTGTCGAATACTTTTGCATCTATTGAGATAATCATGTGGTTTTTATCCTTCTTCTTGTTAATGTGATGCATCATTTTATTTATTTATTTGACAGACAGAGATCACAAGTAGGCAGAGAGACAGGCAGAGAGAGAGGGGAGGAAGCAGGCTCCCTGCTGAGCAGAGAGCCCGATGTGAGGCTCGATCCC